TTTGTAAGCAAGGGGAGAGATCTTGTGTTTGTCTATATTTCTTGAAAATAAAGGGTGGAGACTATGGTTTAACTTTAAGCGGCTCCTTCTGGGACACACTAAAACATTAGGCTTCCCTTACAACAATTCGGAGGGAAAGATTCCAGTTTTTAGGTGCAGATCTAAGGCTCTCTGGGTGGACTAAGACATTGGTGGCCTGAACAACAATTCAGAGGGAAAGATTCCAGTTTTTAGGTACAGATCGCTTGCAGACTAAGACATTAGGCTTCCCTTACAACAATTCAGAGGGAAAGATTCCAGTTTTTAGGTACAGATCGCTTGCAGGCTAATACATTAGACTACCTTTACATTTAGGAGAGAGAGAGAGAGTAAAGATTCTAGTTTTTACAACTCTTTGTCGCGGGGGCAGGCTAACGTTCCACTATTCCTCATCCGATGGAGAGAATAGCTGCTCTCGAAACAGACCCGGTCGGGTTGGACACTCAGACACCCCAGGATGCCGTCATGAGCCCCCAAACAAAGCCGTCATGAGCCCTGTATTGTTTACTTAATACCGCTACCGGAATCTTTCTAGCTCCGGTTTCGTTTTATTCTGACACTCATTAGTACCTGGTGCTCCTCCTTTTTCTGTGTGCTGGCAATGGTTGCTGTAACAGTCATTGGTGCTGTGTAACAGTGTGTGCAGTGGGGGAGTGGGGCTATGGTTGGGGAGCTTGTCTTTCTATATAATGCTGGTGTTTAGTCTGGTAGACACCTTAATTGAGCCAGATTGGTGGTGATAATGTTTCAAACAATGAAAATGTTGTTTCTGGTTAGATTGAGTTCCGGTTCTGAGAGTGGTGTAGGAAAAGTTTGGAATTAGATTTTCTGAAGATTATCTGGTTGGAAAGTTGATGTGGTTTTAGGGAAAATAGAATTTATTTCTTATTATAGAGGGTTGAGATTCAGGTAAGGGTTTAAACTTCAAAGTGCAGCCATCTCAACTAGAGATTATACCATTTCAACCATCTTAACCACAACATTTAGAAACTTGTCATCTTATAATTCGAACCTGAAAACTTCTACGTCGTTATATCTCAAGATAGGAACGGAATTGAGGACATGATTTGAATTTAGATTATTTGTTATATTAACAAATTTGGATTTCTGGGTAATATTTGGACGGTACTGGTTGGGATGTTTTTGATAATGTAGATTGTAAAAGGATAATTATGAAGGAGCAAATGGATCGCTAGCAAAAGATCCTAGCCACCACAACTATGTAATTAGTATACGACACCACGTCAACTTTTAATTTGGACCAGACAAGTTGATCGGGAAGCATTTATAAATCATATCTCAGGTTATTTTCGAAATAATATTATCGAGATTTCTCTCTACGTCAAACCAAGCTTAAATTTGGTTGGGATATGATATTATGGGCTAAGTTGATGTAGATACCGCATAATCTCACTTCTTAGACAAAAATCAACAAAAGTTAAGTTATAATATTAACAGCTGACAATCATAACATCGGTTCCATACTTTATAAAACGATGGCTCATTCTGATAGGCAATTGCAGACATCGCTTAATTTATCAAAATAAGAATCAGTCTGCGTTTTAGTTGTGGATGATTTTCCCAGTGGTTCTCAGTAAAATATAGCAGGTTGAGACTGATATATTCAGGTGGTATCTGCAATTTTTTGTGGTATGTCAAGTTAAGGTAATTGGCTATCATCTGTTAACCATTATTCGTCTGAAAGATGTCTCGAATAATAAAGTTGACTTTGAATCGTGGTGTAAGGTTAGTTTAAGTTTGAATACGTTTACACTTTACAGTTATCATGACACCTATAAGTTAATTACTGATTACCTAGTTTAGTAGTATTGTAGTTAATCAATTAACATTCACTGTTGATTTCACCCAAATCATATGTTTAAATTCCCAAAATAACTATAACTGGACAAGACCTTGCCTCGACATATGTTTCTTGCTCTGACAAAACACACAAAAAATGTTCCTAAACTATCAATATAAATAGAGTTATTACTGTTTATTACTGCTATTCTGTCTGCTATTCCATCCCATACCTTAACTCCTTAACAACGACAATTCCAACTTTTACCTCCCGAAACTCCGACTTTCACTTACAGACTAGCCGGAAGTTGTCCCTCCACGGAGTGTCACGTGGGCGCCACGAGGGGTCACGTGGGCGCCAAGAGGTTACCCACACGTCAGTGAAGTCGAGTTAATTTGATCACGTGACATGAATTCTATCTTAAAGTTGATGTTCTTGCGAGCTAAAAGTTACTGAAGTCGGCAAAAGGCAGATGAGTTTGCGCTGGGTAAATGAGGGGATATGAGGAGAAGTTAGGAGAGTAATAGAGACAATAGGTTTACGTTGTTACGGCGCAATTAACACCCGACACAGTGCAATTATTTGTTGTGAGGGTTTGAAATCTGGGGGTGTTCCACAGACCTTACTGGAATATAATCCAGATGCTAACACCCTCTGTAATCCCATCCAAACCTACTTTGAACTCAAGTATTGCGGCCCCACCAATGGATGAAACATTGACAGGTCATATTAAGCTGTCACATTTCCAACTATTCAGAACTGGCTCATTCTACTAGAGTTTTATCCGCATAATGCTACTAATATAATACATAATACTAAACTCCCCGGTCACGCCTCACTGCGATTCAAACATTCCAACCCAACGAGAGGGGGGAGAGAGAGAGAGGGAGAGGGAGAGAGAGGAAATATAATATGTCATTCAACACACTGAACGGGTGAGAATTATTTTTACGCTATTCTAATTTCTATGGTTGTCAATAGAAATTCTCAACACGATAGATATCCTACCAATAACTGCTAACAGCTTTACAGGTCATGCATCCCATCTCTTTCTTCTCTCCTATTTTGAAAAGTAACGGCCCTCCTCCCTCACGCTCACTGTGTTACAGCACTAAAAGAAATGCCACCCTCTCCTGCGAGGGGTGATGACATTTCTAAGTTAACTGTCAAGAAATTTGACGCAAAATTTTTTACTCCTTTTGAAAATCGACCGTGATTGTCGCACATTAATTGTTGGCTCTGTGTGTGTGTGTGTGTGTTTTCGAGTGTGATAAAGAGATTTAGAGAAAGCCGTAAAATTCAGGGAAACTTGTATAAACTATGAGGTTCAAGGTTGAAAATGCTAAAATAGTAGCACCTTAAGGGGGGGGGGGGGGGGGGTTCACCCTGATTTTTTACAAATCAGGGTGAACCCCCCCCCCCCCCTTAAGGGTTGTAAGTAAAGTAAGTTAGGGTGAGTTTTAGCACCCTTCACGGTTGAAAATGTAATCTATTATTGTTTGCAGCTGTACTAAAGTACTAACTGAGGTAAGTTAGGGGGAATTTTAGCACCCTTTCAAGTAGAAACTAACGGTAATTCATTGTAGATTATGCAGGATTTTTAAGTTGGTCTCAAGCATGTTTGGGAAGTTATTGAGCATGTTTTCAAAGTAATCAAAGTGCGATTTGCTGTCTCCACATCGGCATTTTCAGAACTAATTTTGGTAATTTGTGGCTATTAACACCAATTTGAACTAAGGGTGTCAATATTGTGCACGCGAGTTTCCACAGCACCGTTTTGTCATAACCAATAAATTTCATCGATGGGAAATTCCCCCTAAGTGTTCTCTCAAAATTAGATATCTGACCCAAGATGTTAACTAAATTAGTTCCATTAATGCGCTTCTAATTCTATTCATCAAGACCTTTATCAAATGATTGATTGATAAAAACTATAGCTTCGTCGATACATGACGTGATACTTATCTTCAAAGCTATTCTCATATTTCATTATAATGAGATTGAGAACCACACATTTCACTGCAATACAACTTTCTATTTTCATACTTCCTCCGAAATGTAACAAACTTAACAGCGACTTCTACACAGAACCGGTACTCTACAAACCTCCGTTTCACCTACTTTTTCTAAACGCACCCTAAATAATCTCTCGAATTTTCCCATTCTGCTCAGGTTAAATTACTGATAACTTTCAAAATCTCTCACACAAATCTCATTAAGTCAGGTAGAAGGTAAATATATGATATAAAGAGAGGTCACGTGATCTTTATATAAATATATATTTCAATAATTCTATAGTGATAAAACCTTGATTCGATAATGGGAACTGCCAATGTCCAATAAGCGTGCATGTTAGGATTTAACTCGATTACGTTAATTTTTAATTTTAGAGGGGGAGAGATAAAAAATGTTGAAATTACGTGACACGGGGAGGTAGGAAGTAGGAGGAGGGAGTGAGGGAGGAGGAGTTATGAAGAAGAGTTACGGTTTTTCCGTGGACAATGCGAACAATTGGCGGTATATTCTTTACCGTCAAATATAATGTTTCGTTGAATTTACTGTAAAATTACCGATCACATGGTGGATCACGTGACCACTAAACCCCTTATTGAAGCCTGGTTACACCTCTTCTAGTTGACTTATATAGGAGGACAATATCGGTATAGGAAGAAGCAGTTATACGGAATGACCGACAATGAATTCTGCAAAACTCAGCTCGCACGCACCTGGAAAACTCAGCTCGCAACTGGAAATCCTATTAATATCCAGAGAAAAGCTAAAACCGTATTATTATCCGGAAAACTCTAACATTAAAACGTACTTGTGAATCAGAGGAGGCTGTCCGGGATGACTTAGATTCATATCACGTGACCCAGGATTATCACGTGACCATCCCACGTGACCATCACTGCTGATGATTAGCTCATGTACTAATGTTCTTCTTAGGTGCCATGTCCTAGCCTACACGGTTGAAAGGAGTTTAGTTATAACGTCATATACTGGAGATCATTTTCATTTCTAGTGATTTTCATGTTATTTTCTGATTTCTAGTTTCAGGTTTGATTTTGGAAGGATTCGAAATAATTTGTGTTCGATATTTGATATTCATTGTTTGTTCGGGTGTAAGACAGTGAATAATAAGCGTTATATCCGTTATAAATGATAAAAGTCAATAATTAATTTCATGTAATATCACAATTAGAATAAATTATACAGTAAAATATCCTTGGTCGGCTATTACTATTCAAAGAAACACATTCACAACATTATTTTCTTTCTGTTCAATCAATTATGAAAAGTTTCCCGAAAGTTTCACTGTATCGCACTATGTTTCGTTTTCAAACTTCTAATACAACCTCACTGTTTCTGTCAAACTCAGTATTCAAATATTCTTGCTCATCAAATACACTCGCACGATCGCTGAAATCGTCAGTCGCTAAAATTCTCTGCTCACAAATACCAAAACAAGACTCAAATCTACAGAGCGCACATAAATCGCCCGAACTGTCTATCTTCACTCGTTCTCTAAAATAGTTTTTATCTCTTCGCTCATAAAAGTCCAAGGAGAGGTGGTTCCTTTCAAGGGACACTTGAGTCCACTGGGGCAGCACACGTCTCCGGGCAGCATATCCTTGATCGCTTTTCTGGTGCAAGTGAAGCAGAATTTGTGCGTGAACACCGAGGGACATTGGACAAAGTCCGATCCTTCCAAGAGTCCTTCACAGTTTAAGCAGTGGATATCCTCGGTTAAGGTTGGAGTAGGACCTAGTGTGATGGGCGTCGTTTCTTCGGGTTTAGGGGTGCTGGGTTCGGTTTTAACCGCCTCCATCGTGGCTGCGGCTGCGAGCGTCCTGGCAATTGAGTCCGCTGATGTGAGCGTTCTAGCAATTGAGTCCGCTGATGTGAGCGTTCTAGCAATTGAGTCCGCTGATGTGAGCGTTCTAGCAATTGAGTCCGCTGAGGTGAGTCCGCTTGAAGTGAGAGTAGCAGCGGTGGTTAGGGCTGAGGTCTGGACGGCTGGAACTGTTGGGGTGGTTGTAGCAGCTGAAGCAGTCGGTGAGAATGCGGAATCTGTTTTCAGGTTCGCCAGATTGAGTTGCGAGTAGACAGATAAAGCGTCAGCGTGAAGGGGGAGTCTGTTCCCGAAGATTGGTTGCTGCATCCACAGCTCGCTTCCAGTCCAGCTCAGCCGATCCTTTTCCAGACATATCTTCTTGCTCTCGTTCTTCTGTTCCTCGTCCACTTTTACTCGCTTCATCCGGGTGTATTTAGATGTGTTACACCTAGGCAGAGGAGGAGGGGGCATGTTGGGGAAGTTGACAGCTTGAGGTAAATACCTGGGATCTGGCATGGCTTTCAGGTATCTCACCAGATCGGGGAGAAGTTCTCCGAGAAGCAACCACTGTCCGCTGTTAGGAATACGCTCGTACTCCAGATCTCTGAATCCGTTGCTGGAAGCTCCGATTCTGCCGCGGCCGATGTTCATCCTTTCCCTGTACTCTCCGTACATCTGTCTGGAAGCTCCACTGGCTGACTGGTACACGCTGTTGGACCCGATTGGGTATTCGGTGTAGATCCTCAGCTCGTAGTCTGTCGTCTTTCTGATCGCTTCGAAGCTGAAAACTCGTCCCTTGAGGCTGTGGTCTTTGTTGAAACGCACGATGAAGGGCACACATGAGTTTAGGACGGTCAGGATATCCCGGACGATTGGGGGAGGGAACTGATCGTGGAGAGCTTTTTCTTTGATCATCTGTAGAGCTCTGCCGGGATCGTATCTGGGAGCCAGAGGTGGCACAATCACGGGGAACATCGAGGAAAAGTGGGAATCAGCGCTCCTGTTTAGATGGAAGGAGTTTCCGAAGGACACCGGCAGGCCCATTCGTTCTGACTGGAATTTAGCCATAGTCTTGAGCGCATCAGTAGCAGAGGAAAGTGTGGTAGAAGCAGAGGATTGGTGGAATCCGTGACTAGTTGTGATTGGAGCGATGTGAGCGGGGCTGCCATTCCTGGACATGTTGATGTTCACTGCAGTGGTGGTAGGACTCACTCTAGAATCAGGTCGGAAAGCATCGCTGGTTGGAGTGTTTCCTCTCATTTCAATCGTGTCTGCAACGGGAGACAGGCGCTTTGGTGAAACCTTCGGGGAGGTTTTGGGAGAGATTTCAGGAGCTGTCCTCACGATCGGTGATTGAGTGGGTGATTTCTCTGCAGCTTTAGCGATAGTGAGAGGCTGGATGCTGTTCCGGAACATAGGGTGGTTCATAAGAGACATATGACTCAGAGAACTGGGGAGAAAAGCACTGTTTGGTTCTACTTTCCTGGTTTCTGTAGTTGGTGTAGAGTTCCTAGCTGGAGAACCTCTGGATCTGCCGTTGGCAGCGGCTGGGTACAATGTGCGAAGTCCTCGAGCTCGTTGTATCGCTTCTTCGATTCTATCCACACCCTCGTAGTTGCAACAACCCCGGCAAATAGGCTCGGAGAAGTCTTGAAGCATGGCCCAGGGAGAATGGTTGAAGTCGCAGAGGTAGCACTGTATCCTTGAATTCCGGGACACTGACATGTTATTCGATGCAACAGCAGCCATAGTAAACAAATAAGACTGGTTACTGATTAAAAATGCGGTGGCTCTCTCACTCTCTCTTTTTGCTGGGATAGGAGCTCTCGAGCGGGCCACGCGTTATTTCTCCTCTACGCAGTCACTAACCAATGAGCGCGCGCGCAACGCGCCACGTGACTTTTTCACGTCACGTGTCCCTCTCTCTGTTCTATACGGCGGGCGCGGTGACAATATAATGCTAGGCTTACCTTTTAATGACTTCCATGTATACTTATATTGGAGCTAATCTAAAATCCAGTTGATGTTTGGGAAAGTGATTATCGGAACGATACTAAGTCGGACAATGGTGTCCTAATTAACTTCGTTACCCGTTCTATTGATTGTAATAGTTTTAATTTCAGTACCCTACTCATCATACTAAGTGGCTCAAATCAAATGCCGTTGCCGAATCTCGAATCACAGATTCTCATTTCTTCTGCTAATTAGTATTACAGGAAATGTATAATAACGGTGGCTTTCAGAGCGGTTCATTGTTTCGTTAACGCTCACGCTACAGATTACGGGTGCCAATTGTATCACACTATTGTCTTTATCATTACTACAGGGAGCTGGCAACAAATTTGAGAATTCCCGACATGATAGTCATTGAATTGGGTTTTAAATCGGAGGCAACAATCATGCACTACCTAATGAAAGAAATGGGTATTCGAATCGAGTCTCATGCAACTGAAAGGCTTTTAATTCCGAAACAAAGGAGAGAGGAGGCGGTAAACGGAGAAATGGATCTAATTAAAAAGATTGTGCTCCAATGATATCTCTCAGTTCCACCGTTCAACCAACCAGAGTTAATAACCCACTCATTCTTGGCGGTGTTGGTGTTGATTTTAAACGTGGTAAAGGGTTTTTGGTGGGGGGGATCGTGACCTGGCAACAAGTGTTGAATATACAACAGTCGGGGAATAATCAGAGGCAACTTTAATATCATTCAAACAATAAATTGATTTAGTATCGTTTAACTTAAATGATACCCGAGGAAAAGTATATTTTTCTGGGGAGATTCCTTAGGTATCAGTGATTTACATACTTGAGAGCCCGAGAAAATTACTGGAAATACTGATACGTTAAATTCTTATTGTTTAACCGTTTAGGGTTGATATCACATAAAAGAGTGGGTTTTATTCGAAAACACCATCAGATTATTACCACTAGGGTGCTTGCTATCACCCTGATCTAAAGGTAAAAATACCAGGGCGCTTGCCAGCATACGCCACATACCTGGTTTTTTAATTCCAATGACGATAACAGTGACAGTGATGATCCATGATATAATTAATCCGTTTGAGAGCTGTAGCATCTCATATATCGTGTTATTTACAATTAACCTGGTGGTCCTCACCAGGGCTCGCCCCGGCGGATCTGTTAATGACATCATCCTGAGATTCTGTCAAATGTTGATGGGCGTTCTGGAATTATTTGAAACAATAACTAGATATTGTGTTTTTTTTTGTCTTCAATTCTAACTCTACCGATTAAAATCACCGATCAGATTTATGAAAAGTAGTATAAAGGTTGGTATAAACTTCATTTCAAAGATCAACTGTTTTACATTACTGTAAATAGCTCCTCGAGGTCTAAACTATTTCTAAATCCATATCTCTCCACTTATATGCCCCCTATATCCCCCGATACCCCCTTCCCCCCCCTCCCCCCAATACCCCCTTCCTCCTACATTCATTATTCTCATTTAATTTACTCGCGAGAAGGCATGTCACATTTTTGTCATTTCATGGCGTATGCTATAAACCGTAAATGAAACAGCTCGATTGACACCCCTTAGAGAGTTTACTCTAATCCATATTCCAATATTCCTGGTCTCTCCCCCGGATTAACGGACACTTTTTTGATTTAATATATAACTCCGCTCGACGTTTATAAAACGCCAACCTTTTAATAATAAACCATTAACGGTTAAAGTAAAAGAAAGTTGTCGGACCAAGAAATTGGCTTGTCAAACCTTTCTGTTAATTTACGCTGTCGATCATGCGGCGGTGTGCTCTATTTAAAAGTTTTCCCTTGTAGACTTATAATAATATAATCCTCAAAGTAATAAATTTGGGAGAACCACACATCAGACTATCAAATAGTCCAGACTACCTGACCGGAGACTTATTCTTGATTAAAAGTTAAACTAACCGTTTTTAGCTGATGAAGGCTACAGTAATATAATATAATATACCCCGGTTAATAACCACCCAGTTTGGTATTTTCAACCTACAACATATTAACCGGTGAGAGAGTCGACTTCTGATGGTTTTTATTTTAGTCCCAGATTGGTATTTCAGAGACTGACTAGACATTTTGACGTTTATATTGATTAATACAGTTTTACTAGCAAATAAATCGCTAAGCCGTCTATGCCTAGCAAGCAGAAATTTGCCCGCTTAACTGGAATCCCTTTGAGGGACTCATAAAACCCTCGGTTGGTTGAGATTGATACGTGTTTTAAAACTAAATGACAGTCTACTTGAGCTTTAATGGAAACGTGAAGCAGGGCGAGAAATACTTTGGCATAGTTATTTTTAAGCGACGTTAGATATTAAACCCACCCCCTAGGGTTGTCCGGACAAATTATATTTAACAGTAATGGCCCTAATTTTAGTTTAAACCTGCTATATAAATGGCCCCTGAACCTTTAAAGCCGTATGCTAAAATAATAGATGGTTGTCGCCTGCAGTTAATGAAAATTTAAACGGTAAATTTAAACGATGATTGTTTTGGAATTGAGTTTATGGCGGATCGCATGTATTTGTAACTGTGGAGAAGGTGCCGGGAAGGCGAAACTCTTTGTATAACGTAATGGAAACGATCTACTCCTCCATAAATAATTAACTCTTGTATATATTGTCGGGTGGTGTGCTCACTGGGCAACAGCATGGTGCTTCTAACATAACTGTAGGACTGGAGCTGCACGTACGTAATTATTAATCATAGAATAATTATGGTACCCATGGCCCGTTCTCTTATTTCGCTTATAGAGCTCGAAGGGAAACGTAGTACGTGTGTCAAATTATTAATGATTTATTACGCAATACGGTGATCAGATCTGCAGAAGTGATTCTTAGTTATGTGGTAATATGATAATGTTATATGGCAGTATTCTTCAGTATATGTGTACCGGAGATTCTAGTCAATCGGTCCAGCTGAATATAAAGGAGATTAGAAAAAAAATTGCTGATATTTGATAACCGGACCATACTTTTGTTTGTTTTGACAATGGTTCTGAATTCTGTAAGTTCCACTGTATTGAGGTTTCCTCAGTGATTTTAATTCCTATCACACGAAACTTGAAGATTTCAAAATCCATTATCAAAACATCATAATGCAATTAATACACCATACGTATGTGCATCAAGATACCACAATGATGACAAGAACCTGTTTCTATGATCTCCCGATAACGGTCTCATCAAGATTCTCAAATTTCACATATTTGTTTGCACAACTTGTGCTCCTTCATAATAACAACTTGTGACAAGAAATCTTGTCAGTAGACCTAATCTGATTGGCCCAATCACGGTCCCACTAATGGGCCGTTACTATGGTTACTCAATCTCTTTTAGTCAACCCCGCCTCTTATCGGTAATAATTGGGACAGTGTTAATTGGAAACGGCGAGAAATCCTTGACAAAAAACTAAGTCCCATGTCAACATGCCCTACAATTAGTTAGCCAGATAAGCATTATTTCAGGTTATCATCAGCATTATATGGTATATAGGAGAGTCATGCAGCTGTTGGTGGCGCTAACATGACAACAATATTTTATATCTTTATATGGTAGTGTTACCATGATAAAATAACCTTATATGGTAGTGTCACCATGACAACGTTACTTAATATGGTAGTGTTACCATGACAACGTTACTTAATGTGGTAGTGTTACCATGACAACGTTACCTAATATGGTAGTGTTACCTTGTTAACAAGAACTGCGACTGCAACTACAGCTGATAAGTAGTGCGTTAAGATCGCAGTTTATTAACACTACTCAAGACGCTGACAAGTTCTGATCTAACACGAAGTTTGTTTTTTCAGAAGTGATGAAAAATACGGCATTTCTGCTGTTATCATGTTTGTATTATTCCACTTCGCCAGTGTTGAAACTGTTAAGAATAGTTCTAAAATCTAGCGTGTTGAAACTGCATTGAGAATAGTTCTAAAATCTAGCGTGTTGAAACTGCATTGAGAATAGTTCTAAAATCTAGTTTTTATTTGTGTACAGTTGTCATTCTCTACAGCAGGCCAAGTGTAAGGCAGCCTGTAGAACGATCACCACCATATCCCTACTCCTCACAAGTCTCCGGAGACACTGGGACGACGGCGCTGAAAAGATGCTAAAAACACTGATAGGACCCTGATAAGGAGCACTGATAAGGGGCACTAATACCAAATACTCTCTGACTGCAGCAACCTTGTCTATCATCTCCTTCTTCTAAAAGACACCCTCACTTACTATTGCTTCACCCTGCAGTACCGATTAACTTCAAGCCATTAGCGCCCATTGTGACACCTCAAAACAGCAACACGGGGCCCCCTCTATTACTCCTTTCTCAAACTTTCTATTACTGACCTCTGACCTTGAGTAAGGTTTTGTACTCAGGACAATGGGGTTATACCATCGTATTTAAATTAATGGCAGTGCTGTTCACCTTTACAATGGAGCCAGCAGCCTCCCCCTCATAGCAGCACCTCGCTTACAACCTATTTAATTTCAATAGAAAGTTGTCACAAATACCCAGCAGAGTATCTGCGAACAATTTCTCTGCTAATAAAGCATATGTTTAAATAATGGATGCTTTAAACCCCTTAGAAACCCTCTCCATTCACACCATCAAAAACCTGTCCCCAATCAATCAGTGAGCTCGTGTCGCCCCAACATGTGCCTACTCGGTATTAAACTGTATTATAGTCAGCTGTGACACATGTTTTATTCAAGACCAACAATTGAGGGAAGGTTCTCGTAACGAAGTTTATTATGAAGGAGCAGATTTTGTAGTACTTTTGTTTTGTCAGGTGTTACTCCTTCATAATATACTTCGTTGTGTACTAAGGCGCTCTGTAATCTTGACAATATATATATTATCGGGTGTGACGTCATAGTTAAATCCACCA